CCACGTAATCTACCTGCAACACAGTAATATCAGGCCTATTTCACACCAAACACAGTGCGTTCCGCCCGATTCTGGCCTGGAACGCACTGCATCGCATTGTTCACTAAGTTGTGGGGCATGGGGGCCACCGTAGCCACTCCCTTCAGCAGCGATGTGATCGGCCGCAAGGGAATGCAAAGCATCTCAACCACAGGCATTGATGTGCCTTGCGTTCCCGTGCACCCAATTGCATTGCGGCCGAAAGGGCGTGGCTACGGTTCCATTCACTTCAATGGACCTCCACGCCACCTCCTGCCCCACAACATAGTAAGCCGGCTGTAAGCCGGCCAGAACGCACTGGTGTGAACGAGGCCTCAAAGTTATTGATATTGACAGGACTGTTCATGATTTATTAGTGCTCATTTCATATGCAAGTGACAGCAAGCCCCAGCTAATTTATGTTTTTTATATTCTTAAGAACGTCAACAAGAAGAGAAAATAGCACAGGAACATTTCATTTTGCCCCATTCTCATACCAGATGGTTAACTTGTACAGAACCAAACGTACCTGCAGTTTCGCTGGACAAATAAGCTATGCAAAATTTTTATAAATAGACCCCAATGTGTGTGAACATGTGCACAGCTGCTACAGTATACATAAGGCAAATTCACAAAGGAGCTTCAATATGTGAATGTGCAACAGCTGTACAACAGTGATGACATACCATATAAAAAAAAATGTAATGCAGGCTTTGACCATGGCAAGTATGGATGCAAGACGTTATACGGTGCGGATAGAGGTTGTAGTAAGTAATCCTGCTGTTTGTCAAATTGGAGGGTTTTGGGGGGGTTTTTTTCCATTTTAAGGTTGAAGCTTTAAAATGCACACATTCTTTGCTGCACCTTTTTGGTTCTAAAGCAACAAAACTTGGATATTTTTGTACATTGCATAACGTAACCAGAACATCCTCTTTTGCAGATCAGTAAACAGATTATGATCCCTGCATGCGCATTCATATTTGATATATTTAATAACCACATTTTTATTCCTTACTATGTAAAAAAGCCTTACTTTCTTTCATAAAACATATCAAATAAAAATGACAGAGTGACAGGTGTTGCGGTGGCAGACGACCCTAGGATACTGTTGCTGCCTATGTTGCCCGGTCGCTTAAGTCGGCAAAAAAAGGCCTCTTGCGCCACTTTCTCACAGCTGCTAGAACGGTCATCCTGCGCCACAAGAGGTGCTGTACAAGAGGGCAAGGAAACTCCACTAAGTAGGCAGTTTCTCTTTTTCCCGTTTATTTTACTTCCGAGTCACTGGATCAGTGGTGTTTACGCACTAGGGCGGGTGAAGCGAATGGACCCGTACCCTTGCTGCAAACTACTCTGTATGACTTGATTACCTATATTGTTCAGTATCAGAGCCTTGCTCCAACATCTGATTATCAGTATCTGTAATGATACCATGCTATGCCGGGCTCCCTATGGGCACCCACCTCTTGTTCTGTTTTTCTGTATTGTTTCTTTTGTGGCTGAAACCTTTATGTGTATGCTTTTTCTTTGATTTGTGTATGAAAAATTTCAATAAAAACAGATTGCACCAAAATAGAAATGACAGTCCAGTACGAACACCCTCGAAATGTCCCCATTTTGTAAAGTAGACACTCCAAGGTGATCTGATTTTTTGCCACAACCTTTTTTTAAAACATGTAGCTTAGTAATGGTGCACTAGATACGGGCACGGGTGTATATTTATGTTCAGATCTATAAATGTACAGGCCAGAGGGAGGAGGCGGTGAAGAGGTTAATGTATAGGTCACATACAGTGAGAGGATGGGGATGAAGGGGTTAATGTACAGGATAAGGGAGGAAAAGTGGTTAATACGCCCCTCAGAGTAGACAGAATCCTTCCTTTATTCTCTCTGTTCTCCTCCCTCTGGTGAAAGAGGAAGGGGAGGGTTGGCAATGTAAACATTGCCATGTGATTGCTGCGATAAGCAATCACAGAGATCACAAGGCACAGAGCTGCTCCAAATGGCAGTAGGCGGGACACTCCAGTTTTTTGCTTTTTGTACAGGAATGTATTGCTGTCTTTGTATTATTATGAGCTTCACCATGCTATAGCTCTATTTTAGAGTTGTCTATCTTATCCCAGCCTACCGGGTTTTCAAATACCCAAGTATGATTGTACAGTTTACTTACGTTTTTAAATATTCTACTTTATGGATGTGGAATTTCTTTTTACGTTCTTGTAGAAACCATAAAAAATATTGAAATGGAAAATAAGCCCCCTGGAAGCTGTGTCTAGCCTGGATCCATGCTACCTGTCTGGTTGTCCTACCCTAAAGTACAAAAACTATGGATTAAGTGTATACCCTCCTTAGAACACTTTTACATTGCAATCTTCCACAAAATCCCCGGGGGGTCCTGGTAATTGAAACACTGCTGTCTCCGTTCTAAACTGAAGTTATATTAGCCTCCTTTTTATTTCTGGCTATGTGACAAACAATAGCTAGATCCTGGAATCGATTAAATCCCAGCTTCATGGTGGTTAAACAGAGGATTACAGGTACTGACTGCTATCTCCAAAGTTTCATATTGGAAATTCCTTTGAGTTTGGTCACCTTGGACAGATTACATACACAATTTTCATCATGATCTTCTACAAGTCTAAGCCGCTTAGATCCAGCCAACCCCTGGATGAACTACACCTTCCCATCTCTTTACCACTGCTCCCCACGTGCTTCTTTTCTTTGTAACTATTTCCCTTCTTCCCTTCATTGAGGAGTGATTAGTCAAGGCTCAAAGTAAAGAAGATATACTCATCCTTAGTCCTGCCTGGCCCAAACGCCCAATCTAAGGATCCATGATGTCATCACATCCATTGACTTGCATTGGACGTGAGGACTCCAAGAGACATTCTACAGCCGGAGTGGAGGGCCAGACAGGTGAGCAGTCAACGGCGTGGGACCAAGGATCAGGTGAGTATATCTTTTTTATCTTAGACTGTAAACCAAATTGAGCAATTAACCCTTGCAGTGCAGGGGTAGACCTACTGCACGGATTAATGTTTAATATGTCTGGAGTTTTTCTTTAAGCAGGAATCAAGCCATGTATGGCCAGCATTACATTTCTGCGCAGATCTATAAGCAAAGGGTGGAGAGAATATGCAGCAGGACAATGGTCATGCAGAGAAGAATACTAAAGAAAAACCCATACCTGTTAGTAGTAGAAGACATTTGTGTGTTAAAGATTGTGGAAGACCAAAGACAAAGAAGAGAGAGGGGAAGAGATCACAGTTCCCTTGACAGATGTGAACACAGCATAGACTATAAAAAGTCCTTCCTTAGGCTTCAATAGTGCAAAGTCTGGCCTGCACACAGCTGAAATTATTCATTTCCTGAAGAAATAGGAAACAGATGTCATTTGTCTATTCTACATAAAGCAAGAAGCATGAGTAGCTCTTCATTTTCTACCCACTTCACTGTATGTTTACAACATTGTCAACTGTTTCTCATGCTTTGACATGAGGGCAAATATTTAAGGACCTAAGAAGTATAATACATTTGTCTACTCATGGTGTTAAACATTTCACAGTAAAAAATAGTAAAGCGAAATTGCAGCTTATTTAACTAAATATATATACACTACCACATACGGTAGATTGCAAGGATTTTATCATGCCCTGGTTCTGCAATGTTACAAACATCTTTATGGGCTGGTGACATTTCGAAAGAGGTTCTGCAGGGGGAATACGATCAGCGTAGAGCTCCTATGGCAAAACAGCCACTGGTCATTTCACTTGTGATTTTATGATATCGTCTGACCCATTAAACCTCGCTAAGGACTGGTCAAGAATAAACTACATAAGAAACTGCTCCATTTACTCAAATTACTAAGAATAAAATAACTTTAACTTTAAATAAGATCTATCATTACAATTTATGTGAATACGGCACATATTAGCAATACCAGAGCTTTTTTACATTTTTTTCATAAAAAATTACCTTTAAAGTCTGGACAAAGGTGACACTGTGGGGGCACAAATGTGGATGTTTAACATAATTAGAGAATACAGAGAGTCTGTTTTCGTTTTAATCAACCCTGTCTGGTAGACTTGCAGTGAGAATGGAGCAAGGCACAATCACTGTTAAGCAGTACTAAGCAGAAAACAGAAGGAGGGTCTGGATATATACAGTAATGAGCAAACATGGCTGTCTTGTGCACAATACCTCCCAACTATTCCTCATTTGGAGGGACTGACCTGTGACGGAAGCCTCCATTAATCTGCTACATGGAGGGGGCTACACGCCTGCCTCCTTCCCACCAGCTATGGGCCTTGGATGTAGACTGCGCTCTATTGATTGGGAGAGAGGCTTCTCAGGGTGCTTTGGGCTGTTGGGGACCCTTTGTTTGCGCCCCATGGATCAAGAGGACCCCAGAGATCTATTTCTCAATTATGTGGGGATACATGGGGAGCTGAGATTGTGTTTTCCTATACCCCAGTATCCTGTCCTGGACCAGACTCTGGATTTAGGCTTGACTAACAGACTAACAAATTAAATGGGAGTCTGACCATTTGTCTGATTGGGTTAACAATGGGGGGATTAACTTGTCACTAGATGTAGCCGAGTACATTAACATATGATAGACGCTCAGGAGATAATCTCATCATATGTGTCTTCTCTCTCCCTACTCTTTAATTAAGGCACCGGGGAGGGGATGGTCTGCTTGCATTGTTTGAATGTCTGATTGCGTTATGATTTTAGACTGCCAGAACTGTATAAATACTGTGCTGGTTTTCAATAAAGCCGTTCCTGTTTTGACTTCAACATTGGTGTTATCTGATGTTTGGGGTAAATCTTTATTATTTTGTGAGTTTAGTCTTCTGTCCTAATATATTGGTTCCGTCCAATAATTAGGCAGGTTTGGGCTGAGGGTTCCAGTGGAGAGGAAGCTACATAGTGACTGAGGCACACAGTCGGGGTGTCGTGCGGTTCGTCACATGGCCCTCATTAAGGACATTACTATTACATAGTATTTATATAGCGCCAACAGTTTGCGCAGCGCTTTACAATATAAGGAAGACATTACAGTCACAATACAATTCAAGACAAGATGGTAAGGAGGGCCCTGCCCATGAGAGCTTACAATCTAAAAGAGGAGGGGCAAGTGATACATGAGGAGGTAGCTGTGTGGGGAAGAATTGTTTGAGAACGTGACGGTTCAGTGGTTGGGTTGAGGTGGGATAGGCTTCCCTGAAGAGTCTTTAGGGATCTTCTAAAGGCAGTCAAGGTGGGAGATAGACAGACAGGTTGGGGTAAAGAGTTCCAGAGGATGGGAGGTACTCTAGAGAAGGCCTTCTTAAACTTTCTCCACTTGTGACCCCGTTTTTGGCCGAGGAAATTTTTAAGGGACCCCCAATACAGAGAGTCTGTTTTCGTTTTAATCAACCCTGTCTGGTAGACTTGCAGTGAGAATGGAGCAAGGCACAATCACTGTTAAGCAGTACTAAGCAGAAAACAGAAGGAGGGTCTGGATATATACAGTAATGAGCAAACATGGCTGTCTTGTGCACAATACCTCCCAACTATTCCTCATTTGGAGGGACTGACCTGTGACGGAAGCCTCCATTAATCTGCTACATGGAGGGGGCTACACGCCTGCCTCCTTCCCACCAGCTATGGGCCTTGGATGTAGACTGCGCTCTATTGATTGGGAGAGAGGCTTCTCAGGGTGCTTTGGGCTGTTGGGGACCCTTTGTTTGCGCCCCATGGATCAAGAGGACCCCAGAGATCTATTTCTCAATTATGTGGGGATACATGGGGAGCTGAGATTGTGTTTTCCTATACCCCAGTATCCTGTCCTGGACCAGACTCTGGATTTAGGCTTGACTAACAGACTAACAAATTAAATGGGAGTCTGACCATTTGTCTGATTGGGTTAACAATGGGGGGATTAACTTGTCACTAGATGTAGCCGAGTACATTAACATATGATAGACGCTCAGGAGATAATCTCATCATATGTGTCTTCTCTCTCCCTACTCTTTAATTAAGGCACCGGGGAGGGGATGGTCTGCTTGCATTGTTTGAATGTCTGATTGCGTTATGATTTTAGACTGCCAGAACTGTATAAATACTGTGCTGGTTTTCAATAAAGCCGTTCCTGTTTTGACTTCAACATTGGTGTTATCTGATGTTTGGGGTAAATCTTTATTATTTTGTGAGTTTAGTCTTCTGTCCTAATATATTGGTTCCGTCCAATAATTAGGCAGGTTTGGGCTGAGGGTTCCAGTGGAGAGGAAGCTACATAGTGACTGAGGCACACAGTCGGGGTGTCGTGCGGTTCGTCACATGGCCCTCATTAAGGACATTACTATTACATAGTATTTATATAGCGCCAACAGTTTGCGCAGCGCTTTACAATATAAGGAAGACATTACAGTCACAATACAATTCAAGACAAGATGGTAAGGAGGGCCCTGCCCATGAGAGCTTACAATCTAAAAGAGGAGGGGCAAGTGATACATGAGGAGGTAGCTGTGTGGGGAAGAATTGTTTGAGAACGTGACGGTTCAGTGGTTGGGTTGAGGTGGGATAGGCTTCCCTGAAGAGTCTTTAGGGATCTTCTAAAGGCAGTCAAGGTGGGAGATAGACAGACAGGTTGGGGTAAAGAGTTCCAGAGGATGGGAGGTACTCTAGAGAAGGCCTTCTTAAACTTTCTCCACTTGTGACCCCGTTTTTGGCCGAGGAAATTTTTAAGGGACCCCCAATGTCGGTCGGTGTCTCCCCCCTCCCCTAGCGTAAGTTAGCATAAGTCGGTGTCTCCCCCCCGCATCAGTCAGTGTGTTTCTCCTCTTCTTCCCCCGGAAGGGAGCTGGAAGCAGGAGGTCTCAGGAAGAGCGGAGTGGACGGTTAGGGTGATATTTTGAGACAAGGTCTGAGATATATCCGGGGGCAGAGATGTGGATAGCGTTATAAGTGACTGTTAATATTTTGAATTTTATCCTCTGGGCGAGTGAAAGCCAGTGGAGGGATTGACAGAGGGGGGATGCAGTCACTGAGCAGTTGGTCGGGTGAATGAGTCTAGCAGCTGCATTCATGATAGACTGAAGGTGGGGTAGCCTGTGTAGTGGAAGGCCAATGAGGAGGGAGTTGCAATAGTCATAACAAGGCAGCAATAATAATAACAATAATAGCAATAACATGATCGATCAGTTGCCCCTCTTTTTGGTCTGACGTACAGATATCAAAAGAAAGGTAGTATTTAGAGGTGTTATTCAGCACTAAAACCTTTATCTTATCTTTGAATAAACTTTGCTATTTTTAAAAGCCAGTACAAAAGTAAAGTAATGGTGAAAAAACTGTTCTGGGTTTAACCAATAATTTTTGCCATATAAATTACTAATGATCCACATAATTGGGGGTGTAGTATGAGTTTGTCTATTACCTAATTACAGTGGGTTTGATTTATAAAACGTCTGCCCAGCCATTTACTGGAAATTACTATGCTACTCAGGTCCATCTAATGTCTTTGAAAATGTACTATTTACCTCTGGGTCCAGCTCAGTCTGGCATCCTGCCTAGCTAAGTGATGTCACTGGTTGCCAGGAGCTTGACAGGATGCAAGCCAGAGCGTCGCGCTTAGTTCCTGACAAGCACTGACATCAGTGAGCTGGGCGGGATGCCGGACGGAACATCACAAGTTGGTAAGAGCTCTTAGCAACCTGGGGTGCTCCGCCCGGAAAAGGGGTCCTGACCAATTATAGGGATGGCCCTGTGTGTACAACTTATATAATTACAAACTACACAGAAAACATCCACTGATAAGGCTGTAATGTAACATGAGGTATATCTTCAATGGCAACTCAACTTGGTGAATTATACTATTTCTTTGAATAGACAATAGCTCTGATGATTTTAATGAACAGTTCCCTATAATCCAAACTAGTAATTCAATGTACAGTTAGAAGAAAACATCAGAAGCCTAAACAACTAAGGACCGCTTAGAATACGTTTGGCTGCTAGCCAGTCTTTGTAAAAGCAACACAACATATTATCAGCATCAGATACCTTTCAGCTCAGATCAATTTTACAATTGTTAGAAGCTCTCCAGACTGTATAATTATGTCTCAGTTTAGTACATTTGTAACAAAAAGTCCTTAGATCAGAAAGACCCATAGCAGCAGATGTTAGTGAAGATCTCAGTTAGGCCTCATGCACACAGGCTAAAAAGTGCCAACATGCAGCAAGAATCTGAGGATTCACCTGCAGTTAGCAGTGCCATATCTAGCTTGTGGCAGGCAGGGCACGTGCCATGGGTGTCAATTTTAGTTTAGGACCTCAAGTCCATGCTGACGGGAGGTCTGCATGGGGCACTGTTCACACATCTAGGGGT